CTGCCCTAAGTATTTTATAGGAGATTCCTCCTGCTCCTTCACCCCAAGCCAAATTCTGATTTCAACCGCCTTCTGTAAATCAAGAGTAACTCTATTGATTTTACTTATCTCCTGATTTCAACTGAGTTACTTTGGATTTGTACCCATGTGGGTGAGATGAGAATTTGGTCTTCTGGCTGTAAATATTTTGTTGATTAATAAGCACTGAAAGATTCTTACTCTTGTTTTTGGGGTGACTTCTCCAGCTAGAATGCCTGGCTTTCATGTTCTGTAGCACTGGCAGTTTTGTCTAGACCCACATTGCTAGGTTTTTTAACTAAATACAGGTCTAAAATTCAGCATAAGTGCAATTAACTGGAAAAGTTTGAAATGCTTTCAAATGCCATCCAACCTACCCGTCACTGGAGACAGATCTTCAGCAAGTCAGGTACTTTCGATTCTTCTGAGCAAGAAATTCTCCAGCTATTAAATAAACAATAGCATCTTAGAGATTGTAGATAACCCCTTATGCACTGATGGCCAAATTCAGAGGTGAATTGAAGTAAGACTTGAGAGACAGTTATTGTAACTCAACTGTTGTTCCTCCCCTCAACTTCTCAAAAATATATGTTATGCCCCTCCCCTTCTCAAAACGTATATGTTATTTCAACTTATACTGGTTTAAATCACATCAGGGAATGCCTGGTCTTACAACAATGAAGCATATCTACAACGAGGATTTGCACTGCAATATAAACCCTAGTATACAGTGAATCGGAGTCTATTACCAGGAAAGTGTCCCCATTGTAGTGCATCTACAATATGATTTGTGCTGTTCTAGCCACATCAATGTATTATTACTAATATTTATTATTGGCATTGCAATAGCACCTAGGAGCCTCAGGCACGGACCAAGACCCCATTGCGCTAGGCGCTGTACAAAACCAAGAAGACCATCCTTGCCCCAAAGAGCTTACTGTCTAAATAGTTACACCAGTGCAAACTCGTTATTCTAGACAAGCCCTTTTAAAATGCTCTGACCCACTTGCTAATATGAAACTGACCCCAACACTGCCACCCTTAAAATGTTCAAAAGTCATGACTCCGACCCTCCACAATCATTAGACTGGCTGAAAAATGCTATGTTTTTTTTTAAAAAAATAAGTTTAAATTCTTTTTAGTGTTTTTCTGACTTTTGAGCCTTTAGGTTACAGTCAGGTCACATGTTCAGGCTTTACTCCGCAACCATGAAGTCTCTCTATTTTTTTTTTTTTTTAAATAAAAGCTGAGATCCTCACATCATTACATTACTCTAGGAACTCATGATTAAAATGAAAAAAAAAGGATTGTGAGACATTCACTACAATCATGAGAGTTTGGAATACTGGTGCTGTTACTTCCACATTTCATCTCTGAATGTGGCCTACAGAGTCTCACTTAACTTAACCTATGGGAGGCTGCTCCAGGATAATGCATGCAGAGGGACCAGAAGAGGGCAGCACAGTAAGAGAAGCCAATAACAGGAAGGCAGGCTAAAGTGTCATTTAAAATAAGCCTCTCCATACTTTGAGCCAGATTCTCAGCTAATGTATTTCAGAATGTCTCCATTGTCTGGCTTTTTCACATACACTTGCTGCTGACCTTCTCTGCATAAATAACACTGATTAGAGAAATCAGTAAGTTCTAGTTCTAAAAGAGTTTAACTTTGGGTAAGGCAGTCTGATTGCAAGGTGGTCCCTTATGCGTTAGCTCTGAATTTGGCCCTGTTTAAAAACAAAACCGTGGATATGCATGAGTTTCAATGCATCACGTAAACTACCTTTCTAAGAAACAGATTTTGGAAAGGGAAGCTGAATTTACAATAGGGGTCCTTACAGAGGACAAGGTTCTGTCTTGAAGCATCATACTAGAGATTCATTTATATACCATTAAGGACCTGTAAAAGCCAGAAATCCAGTGCAAAACACAATTTGAAACTCTTCATACCGTGCTTGGATATTACAATATATTTAAATCTTGATTACGTTGGCCTAATCTTCTTGAGCCGAGTAGGAGTTCTGCAGTGCTTATGCTGGCAGTATTGGATAGTTGGTAAAATCTTCCACTTTTTCCAGCTCCTTGTATATGAAGGCACAAAACCTGAAATCTGTTTGCTATTGTGTCTTTCTCAGTCATAGCATTATAGCAAAACTAGCGGGTATCACTATAGTGGTATGGATTAGACATCCACTTGTACCATTGAATTTAAGTTTTCAAATCAGTGGGGGGGGGCACACCTCTCAACCCTAAATGATCAAATGCAGGACAGAGACCAGATCAGAGCTTGTACCTTGCTTTACAAAAAGGGACACACATTTTGGTCTTCATATCATGGACAGGAGAACTGATGCATGGAGAGTTGAAGCTACTTGCCCAAGGTCACATAGGGAGTTGAGTGGCAAAGCCCAGAATAGAAGTCAGATTGAAGGACACACACAAAATGGTGCAAGAAGTGCATTCGGGTCTTCAGTCTATTTATTCGAGGCACAGATTCTATTCCCAGATACTCACGCATAACTCCAGCTGACATCCAGAGGCACACATCAGAGTATCCTGAGGACAGAATTTGGCCTATTGTGACATCAGGTTCATGATTCAGAATGATCTAAGAAGTTTATGATCATTAAACCAAGTCTATTTGGAATAGAGGTAAATGTGGAACATCCCTTTGGGATGATACATGGGCATTTGGCATTGTGGCTCCCATTTTATTTTGAAATCCATGCCCAAACCTCAGTTTATGCCCTGAGTGTCCATTTTCCCACCTGCTACGCTATATTTCTTGGTGAATACATGCACACTTTTTTCAAGGCCCCTTGTAATCCGTTATCTCATCACCATTTTGATTAATGTGATCTCTATTTTGTGTACAAACACTTTGTACTTCAGAGAAGAAGGATAGTCACGTGCAATGCTTAATTTGTGCCGGAGTTTGCCAGGGCTGAGCCCCGGCACCTCTAGAGTTGGTAGTTCATAGCCCCAGCACCTCTGGGCTTGATGCATCAGTTATGAAAGTAAAAAAATAGCTTGAGTCCCAGCACCTAATTGCTTGAGGCCTGACACCTCTTTCATTACAAATTAAGCACTGGTCATGGCTCTGGAGTAGGACTCTGAAGGGTTGAGTTCAATTCTCAGTTCTACCACAGTCTTCCTGGGTGACTTTAAGAAAGTCACTTAATCACTCTGGGGCAGATCCTCATCTGGTGTAAATTGCCATAGGAGACAATGAGGCTCTGTGCCTCAGTCCCTAATCTGCAAAATGAGAACAATATCACCTGTCCTCCTACCCTTTGTCTACTAATATTACAAGCTTTTGAGGGAAGGGGCTGTCTCTTAGCATGTGTTCCTGTGGGAGGCACTTCAGAGGGTCCCCTATCTTGGCTGCAGGCACTACTGCAATACAGTTAAAGAGTGATGTTCTGACCCCCCTCCCTTACCCCCCCGGACGCAGAAGATACAAACAGAAGATTGTTGTTGTTGTTTTTTTTATTATTATTATTATTTAGAAATAATAAAATAAGACATAATATATAAAAATCTGTACAATCCATGATTTGTGCAGTACATTAGGAAGACTTTGATACAAAAAGGCTGCAAACAGGAAAATAGTAATGGACAATTGTCAAATGTCTCGATTGTTCACCTTACAACAGCTGCAGACCAAGAGTCATTGCAAAATAAATTTCTGGTCGGCGGTGGGATGGCAACTCTGCAGCACCCTTCTGCCTTAAAATGGTCAAGAGCAGCCATAGTTTAAAGACATTACAGTACTTCTCGGTTTTACCTTGTAATCCAATATGGAAAAAAAAAAGGACCTAAGAGACCAGATAAAAACATACAAACCCTTTGTCTTTGCCAAAAGAGAACAAGTGCTAAGTTAACACCACAGAAATTTATCATGATTGGGAGAATGTATCATTAAACACAACTAAAATGTAGTGATTTCCACCCTTGCTACTTATCCGAAAAACAAGTTGCACCTAAGAGACAGAGGAGAGAAACAACACAGCCCAACCTGTCTCACAAATGCCTTTTGTCATTGTAGGCGGTATTATGTTTCAGACATTAAGTCTTATTCAAGTATTTTCAGGGAAGTGCAGAAATAACTAAATCCTCCCCAACTCCCCAAGCAAAATACATAAAACCACCTGTGCCAGACACTAAAGACACTGAGCCAACTTCATCCTTGGGGTCATGTCATAGACTAAGGACCAGATCCAAAACTTGTAAAGCCAATGGAAAGACTCCCATCTGCTTCAACAGGCATTTGGATCAGGCCACAAATGAGGGATTAATTTGGCCCAGTATCACTAAGTATGAACGCTGTCAGTCACTATGCATGCCTTTAAAAAAAAAAAAAAAGAATTAACCAACCCTACAATAGTCTGACCTGTATTGGGCTTACCAAGGCATGTTCAGAAATGTATTTAAACCATTTGAGATATGAACAAGGGATGGGGAGGGTACCATGAAATATACATTGCAGGTCAGGTCTCTTTCCTAGCAGCTTTCACAAGCCAGAGGCTGAGTGCAAATCTGCAATGCTAGATTCAGTCGGTAGAGACAAAGGGTTATTTAAAAATAAAATAAATCCAGCAGAGAGTGCAATGAATTACCTAAGTATCCACTCTCAACAAGACTAGCAATCTGAAAGCTTGTAACTTTTAAAAATGCCAGTAACTAGAAAATATTTTCAAATTAAAAGTCCATGCTTAAATAAATAACAGAAGTTCATAGCATTAGGAACCCTATAAGGCTTGCAAGTATTTGCTAAAACCATGCTAACCGGTAGCATCTAGGTACTAGCCAGCAGAAACTGCTAAACTGAATTTATACTTCCTATGGATTTATTTAATTTTTCATTTTTCTTCCTCTCCTTTACAGACTTCTATTTACATTTGGCTTTAAATATGAAAATACTTGATAAACTTTATAAAATGTACATTTTAAAAACATTTCTGAAAAACTGTGACTCGAAAAAAACTGTGCACCAGAAATTTCAGATTTTTTCCCTTTTTTGTTTTGTTTTGTTTTGTTTATTTTTTCTTAAAGAAACAAACTGAAGCTTTTTATTTTCCCTTATCTCCTGTCCCTTGCTCAGATTTTTCAAGTCTCCTAAGAGGGGCACTGTATATTTTGGAGTGATCTAATTAGGGAAAAGGTTCCCTTTTCTCCATCTCATTCCCCCATTTCCTTCCTTCCCCCATTGCATCTTCATTTGTTTTACATTTCACTGAATACTCTTTGGTTTAGTTGTTTTCCTTTACAAGAATATCACAATAGCAGCACAAGTAGCGTTCAGTTGCATTCACTGGCTATGACCCAGAACTGTGTTCAAGTTGCCGTGTGGGTTTAATTCCCTTCCCCCATCCCCCCCATAAATAGTTTTAGAACTTGTATTTAAATAACATCTGCCCTCTTTAGAATATCCAGAGCTACCTTTACAATGTAAAATTTCCACAGTTTTAGAACCCACCTACTCAGGTTAGTGTAAATACCATCGTATCAGAAACCACCATGTCATTGCAGGCATTTCCTTCAGGCAGGGCTGTAAGGGGCCAGGGGCCTTCACAGATGTCCATTTGCAGAAGACATTAGACTTAGAACAAGCTGTTTTTTAATGGCATACAGTGATTCAATTCTGTAAAAGAGTTGACTAGAATCTATTGTCCCCACCACCACCATTACCTATTCCTTGAGGAAGATTCACAGGCAAGGAACCTTCAAGTACGGCTAAGTTATATGCTTGATCTTAGAGGCACAGAAAATATTAAAGCATTCTTGGCAAGGGGGCCAAAATACCATTAGAGCCATGGCTTTACAAAAGGTCACATATTTCATCCACAGATAGCTCAGTCGATGTTTACAGGTAAAAAGGAGGTGGGAGAGGGAACTCTTTTACAGCATTATCTGCAAATAATCCTTTTTCAAATGATCCAGAGCACACTATTACACCTGGTCTGACACCTGTGGCCTGCCAAAGGGAAGCATTTTTCCAAAACGTTCACATCCCTACGCTCTTTCAGATTGCTCTGTTACAACTTCCTTCCCTTTTTTCCCCCTCCTCCTCCTCCCCAGGGATTTACGTGTTGCTCGGCTCACCTACGCCTAAATGCCTGCTCCAGCCGAGTTAGCCTAGCGCAGATCAGCAGCTTTGCATGGCTCTAGCCTAGTTTAACTGGAAATGTAATGACCGCCTGCAGCATGTCTGATGGCTCAGTTCTCAGAACGCTGGGTCAGCTCTAAAAGGGCCCTCTAAGTTCTAGAAGCAGTTTTGGAATGTGTGTAGAACAACACTTGACCTTCTGCTGTAGCCCTGCTGGTGTTTTGCTAACAGGAAAGAACAGATGTTTGCCCCCCCCCCCCCCCTTTTCCTTCTTATAAAAAGAAAGAAAGGGAGCTCGTTTTCCCACAGAGGGGGGGAAAATGTCTTGCTTACTTAGATCTGAGTCTTACACTCTATTTTCTGAATAAGGTGCGAAATGAGGCCCTTTAAAAAAAAAAGTCTGAGGTTCAAATTTTGTTTGTTTAAAGCAGCCTGTTTCATTTAAATAAACTCCACTGTGCAAAACTGTGCATTTTCTTTGGTATCCATTTAGGTAGTTTTAACTTAATTTTTAGATAGAGAATTAAACTCAGCCCCCTCCCATCCCCCCCTGAAAAAAAAATTTGCTGGAGGCTACCAATTGGCTTTATGTTACATAATGCCCCTTATGTAACTGAAAAGAGAGAAAAATTGATTCTAGCTATCAAACTACTGGCCTCAAACGAAGTTCAGACTATACGGCCACATTGGCCTCTTTGAAGTGTGATCACGAGCTTTTCAACCCACAAAATTCAATGTTGACTTTTTTTTTAAATTACACAAAAGAAAAAACTACACTGCCACAAAAAAATTACAATTTGTGTCCATGTAGTTAGCAGCAGCTTTCTTAAAATAATAACAATAATAATAATAATAAGGCAGATTCTTGCCTTTGTTATGCCATTAAAAACATTCTTGTTCCCTAGAGAGAAGCATTCTGGAAAAAGTTGAAAAAAAATAATAATAACCCAACCAAAGCTCGCCTGCAAGTTCAAGTTTTGTAAAAAAATATATACATAATTTATTCTACAATATATATGTGCCTTCTGGTCATGCTTAGACATTGTTTAGTGCTTCGTGTTTAGAGTTCATTTTCAGCTCTCTCTCCTCTAAAGACAGCCCTAAAACTGGCTTAGTTTCCTCAGGACCGCTTGTCTTCACGCCTTTCTTCAACAGTACCATCGTCTGAAAACTGCTTTGGGCCAACTCTCAGCTCATTGTGCCTTTGACCGACGTATTTTTCTTTTAAACCAAAAGATAACAGAGAAAAAGTCAGTCAGTCATATTTCCGATTCCCGCCTTAACGGCCTAGGTTCTAGTGGCACCCCAGCTTGGTTATGATGGTCCATGTCTGGGAGGGTGTCTGTGCTTATGCTTTCAGGCACCCCATTGTCACTCTCGTCCTCTTCTTTGCTGGTGAGGGCCACTTCATTCTCGTAGCAAAAGGAATTTGCATTAGAGAGAATGTATTTCTTTTCTGCTAAGTCTCTGGCACTACAAAGGGGTGTGTTGGGCACTTCGTACGTTTTGTGGAACCTAGAATAGTCCACTTTGTAGTAGTTTTTCTCTTCAAAGAGCACAGGCTCATAACGGTGGCCCCAGAGGATTTCGTTTGCCAGATATGAACTACGGCACTGGGTAGTCATGGCGGTAGCTTCCACCATGCCCTCTAATATTACTACAATTTCAAAGTCTGCATTGTCCATGTCTTGCTTACTGTAGTCATACAAGGGACTTTGTTCATCTATTTCATGGACTATTGTAATTGGGGAGACCAGGAATATGCGGTCTATCCCACTATCAAACCCAACGTTGATGTCTATTTGGTCCAAAGGGATGTATTCTCCTTCGGAGGTGACCCTGGATTTAAGAAGCTGGGCTCTCACGTGTGCCTCTACCAAATGGCTTTTCCGTAGGTTTCCAACACGCCACATTAAACACAGCTTCCCATCCCTCAGGCCCACAACAGCATTGTGGCTGAAGACTAGAGTTTCGTTTCTCTTTTTTGGTTTAGCCATCTTTGCCATGACAGCCCCAATGATGAAGGCATCAATGATGCAGCCTACAATAGACTGGAAAACCACCATGAAGACTGCAATGGGGCACTCGTCCGTGACGCACCTAAAACCATACCCAATCGTTGTCTGAGTTTCGATGGAGAAGAGGAAGGCTGCAGTGAAGCTGTTCACATTGGAGACACAAGATTTGTAGTTTGCTGGCTCCTCCAGATCCCCATGCAACAGAGCAATTAGCCAAAACACACAGCCAAAAAAAAGCCAGGAAAGGATGAAAGCCAGGCAGAAGATAAGTAGCATCCACCTCCAGCGAATATCCACGCAGGTGGTAAAGATGTCTGCCAGGTAACGTTGTCCTTTCTCGCCCACATTAATGAATTGGACGTTGCAGTGTCCATCTTTCTTGACGAAGCGGCTCCTGCACTGCTGCCTAGTGTGTACCTTGCTCTTCCCGTTCCCGAAGCCATTGGCAACTGCCATGGTTGCCAGCTTCATGCCATCCTCTTCTGAGGAAACGATGCTATAGCGGTTGGTTCGCACGCTGCCCATCACTACTGCTGTGGACTGAGGTGCTTCTGCTTTAGAAAACAGTCTGAGTTTCTGCAAAACCCTTTGGAGAAACAGGTTTGAAAGTTCTAGAGGAACACACACACAGAAAAAAATAAGAGGGCTAGGTTGGAGTTTCCAACAACCCTTGGCTCTACCAAGGAGAGTCTTCGGACATGCAGCGTTAGCTTAGCAATCGAACATCCGTCATGGAGAGCACATGGTCTGCAAGAGAAAGACAAACTGCATGTTAGAACTCAAAGGGACAGAACAATGAATCAAAGCTATATAAAGACCCCAGCCTCCAAATCCACACGGTTCGTTTTTCAATCTATTCACTTCTATTCATGGAATTGTCCTGGGGCACAGAGATTCTCTGTTTATGGTTATGGATCGACAAAACTGACATCGTTAATGCAAAGAAGTCATCACTCTTTCTGTAGCAAGCACTAAAGTGAACATGTCTTAAAGAAATATTCACTTAAAAGCAGAAAATACACGTATCTATCTAATACATACACCTGCACCTTTGGTTTACTTTGGAATGGTGAATTAGCTTGAACACATGCATGTCTGTTCAAGTCTCAAGTTGATTTACAATGACATAGAAGTCTGTGTTTCAGGGTCTATTCCAGCCAAGATACAGGTGTGCGTTAATTAAAGGAACAAGTGCATTCTGAGGGTTATATGCTCCTTGGGCCAAATTTAGCTCTAGTGATACTCCACTAACTTCCATTAAATTACACTTGTGCAGAATTTAGCCCTTTACTAGTCCATTAAAGCAAAAGTTGTGCAGTGTTTGCCAGCTATAGGAATAAAGCCATACAGACTACGTTGGGCAACTATTTAAACCAAAGCCACAACAATTTGATGGGATCCATACAATCATTAAATTCACAGTAGGAAATCATCACACAAACCAAATGAGGCCCCATCCTGCTCCCGCTCAAGTTCTTGGTAAATGGCTTTAACAGACGCAGGATTGGCCTAACATCTCTGTGATGCCTTTGATGGTGGCTACAAGGCAATTTCCTCTCTGGAGATAAAGGGGATTCTGCCTTCAAAAGGAAAATGGTCCTGAGTTTCCCTTGTGTCGTGAATGTCAATGGTTAGGGCTTAGCATAGTGGATACAAGATGTGTTTGCTGAGACTGGAGGGCACCAAACTCATTTCATGGAGGTCTGGCTTAGACCCAGTGTTCGCTTTTAACAAGCGCATCATCCATTAAGTCACCTACTGTATTGCAGGAGATTTAATTGAAATACTGCAGAGGAGGCAAAATGCAAGAATTGTAATAATCCCCCCTGCACACACGACCAAAGGAAAAAAGAAAGTCATAACTGATTTTAAAATAATGGGTTTGCCACAGCAGGAGATCCAAGTACCAATCACATTAGTGGAAGAGTACACTAAGGTGTCTTTTGTTAACAGATATTAACAAAATTAATCCGACTCATTTCTAAGAACTGACACAATTGTGTCAACCAAAGAATAAGACTTCTGCATGTGAAATAGTTTGCACACATTCTAGCTGTTCTTCCTGACCTGTGTAGAGCAAGGTTAAAAGTAATCCTGTGGATAGGAACTACTCCTGGTCCAATAACAGGGTTAAAATCCTAGACAGATTTGGAATCTCTAGAGTTCAGCATATGATCTCTTAATTCCTCCATCCCCTACACCTCGCAGCTGCATCACAAGGACACAGGTAAGCAGATGTGTGTAAGAAAACAGCAGGTGACAAGCAAAAAGAATAAGTGATCTTTATAGATGTGCATAAGACATTTCTTCCCGAAGAGCTACTTCATGATGGTTTGCTTTAAACACACACACACACACACTTTAAATTACTCTACAACAAATGTGGCCCAACACATATTTCCTGAGATTAGTCATCTGTGACTCCTGCAGTGCGTGATACATTTTGGCAGCTTTCAACTTTCAAAATACCCAGTGTGAATGTAGCTTTCAGATTAATGTATAAAGATGATAATGGTGCTGTTAAGCTTACACCTGTCTGAATATTTTGTTTGCATTGTGTAAAGTTCCCTTTATATGTTTTTTTTTAATGTGGGGGACGGGTGATAAGAACGGAGATTCTCATTCCTGCCAATATATAGCTCTCTAAAGCGAAGGAATGCATCTAACGTTCAGTTTGAGATATTTTCTGTTGGCTTGAAAATGCATCTAAAACCAAATACAAGTGGAAAAGCCAAATTACTATTTATATGTTCCATGAAAAAGAATAGCTCATTGCAAAATCATTGCATTGGTTTGCAGATTAATCACTTTTATAAACCACATCCTAAAAGCATGATCATGTTGAACTTCCATATTCTAAGCAGGTTTTGCTCCAAGCTGATGGAAATATGTAGCCTTAGAACTAATTTAGTCATTTTTCTGCATTGTCTCTTGGATTTCAAGGGGGAAGGGGCCTGGGGAGGGGACAGCTGTGAAATCTGAGGGACCTGAATGTGCAACTTTATACCAAAAAAAAAAAAAAAAAAATTTTTTTTTTGACCCCAAGACATTTGTTTGAATGCCACAAATCACGGAAACCACAATGCCAGGTTCCTACAAATAGCTCGCCATATTTAGAACCCTGAAAATAGCGATCGGCACCTACTGTTGTCATATTTCCATTGCTAATGATAGCATTTGTTCCACCTACTGTACATCTGCACAGTATTATTAGTTAATAGTGGTGCCACTGCACGTGTTATGCCTTTGGAAGCAAAAACTGCACCTACTTTGGCTTAAATATTCCTGAAACGTTGAAATGCAGCCTTGGGGGAACTCTGGCACACACCACACGTTACAGTGCTGGTCATAGGATAGCTGTCTACGGTCTTTTAACAGCACAAATTGCCTCTCATCCTTGTGTGTGCTTTGAGTAGCTAGGATACCGGGAGGGGGAGGGGGATTTGCAATACTTCAGCAGTCAGACTCACAGCTAATGAAACACAATGGGCCTGATCCTGCCCCCAGTCAAGTAGGTGGCAAAATTCCCATTGACTTCAAGGATCAGGACCTTGTGTATGGGGGTGGGGGAGGGGAAATCAAATAGCTCCACCAGTGTTGGGATCTGAACCTTGTGCATCCTAAACTCTTCCGGTTGGCTGCAGTGGGAGTTTGGGGACTGCAAGGAATACAGGGTCAGGCCCGACACAAAAAGTGTGTACAAAGCTAAAAATGCACAGACCTGGGCTAAAAATCTGATATGATGCCTTACTTTGATAATCCACCTGCTGCTCAGTTGTAATACAAGTTTAATTTTTCCAAAGATTCTCATGTTATCACTGAGTACAAAGAGCAGACAAAACCTACAGCCCTCACGGGGAGGAGGGGGGAGGAAGAGGGAGAATTGCATAATGACATGTAGTCAGACATAAACTAAATTATCTTATTTTATTCACCCCATTATCTCTCCACAGAAAAACAACACCGTTTTCACCGTAGGGAAGTACTAAAACCAGTTGCTGGCACGTGTACAGATTCACTACAGTGAGGTAGATCAGAATTTCAAATGTTGCAAGGGGAGGCTTGGAAAGGGGGAATAGAAGGGGACTTCACTATTAATGAAGCATTTCTGGACAAACACTGATTCAACAACAAAATCTCTAAGAGCTCCCAAGGAAAAATAATTACATCCGATGGCTGTAATTTGCACTGAGCGAGTGGAAGAGAAACGTGCAGGAGAGTTTCAGACTGATCACAGATAGAGATGTTACAAGAGTTGAGAGAGAGATTGCTAATGAGCGATCCGGGCAGTTATTCCCAAGCTGACGCCACATTACCCTGCGTTGTGTGTGCAGGGCACATGTTGCTAAGTGAGCACAACTGCTACCTTCCTCCCTCTTCAGTAAACAGAACACTGCCAAGATATATAGCAAAACCAAAAGCCCATGCTCTCTTATTTTATTGGTCAGAGATCTTCAGGTGTAAAGGCTCAGTGACCTTTCCCCAGTCCCATATATTATTTAAAAGTTGTTAGCCCAGCCTCTCCTCATTTCCCTACTTGCTTTGGCTAGGGGATTTGAGGCATATTATGTATTTAATGCTAAGCTAGCTTGGATCATGACAGATTTTCTTTAATAAAACAATGAAGACATTCGAGAAAAGAAAAGTAGGTGATGCAGGAAAAAGTGTACAGAGAAAAAGGGGAAAGAAAAGTGGCACTGTCATCTGAGATCCTGCTCCTTTGCAGATCTCAGGATATTTCTAGATGATGACAAAGTAACTACAAATGAAATATTCATCACCAGGGGGTGTAGTTGATGTGCTGGCCAGCAGGATGGAAAAGCAAACAAGTGTAAAGGTAAGGCAGAGAACACAGAAAAGTATACATAACTAGATACAGCCTGATGAGTAGCGATGTGGCAGTGAACACATCTTTTTAACACCCAGAATAGACTTCAAGTCTGTTCTGCAACTACTGTCGACAGACAATCTCCAAAGTTCATGTGAAGCACTTGCCTGGTTAAAATGGAAAAGCTTGTACAATACAGCCACAAATAAGTCTGCCATTTCCTATATGTATTTTTTTTAACTGTCATGAATCAAGTTAAAATGACGCAATCTCTCCACAGTCACTCAAACCACAATGGCTTTTTTCTTACTTCTTCTTTTTGCCAGACCCATTAAGAAAGAATTCCACAAGTTGCTTTGATGCATCTTTCAGAGACTACAGTCGATCTGCAGTGTTATGAATAAATGTCCTGGTGTTGTGCAAGAGGTGATAGATTTTTTTAAAAATTTTAAAAAATAATGCTCTAAACTCTGTAATTCTGTGTGCTTTGACCTTTTCCCTCTGTTCTAAAATCCCTGAAGTAATAAGCAAAAAGAAAAGGATGCACCCTACAGAGGAAAGGAGAGTTTTGATGCTAACTGCCAATCCTCCCCCAAAATACAACATCCTTCAGTGGCAGCTGGTGACTCGGGGGGAAAAAAAAAATGAGCACAAACAGATGCTCAAGTGTTCCAAGCATACCTAGCTAATTATTTGCGCTAGTGAGATTAATTAGACTGTTTGTATGGTGTATGAGAAATGGTGAAGCTCTCCCTTCGTATGACCATGCAGAAAAGTGCAATCAATAACCCTGATAGTAAACCACACACATATAGACTGATTCCCCCCCCCACACACACACACACCCCGGTACCCCTTAGGCACAAACATTCGAGGGTGGCATTTCAGAGGTGACTGTGTTGCAGACTTCACTACCGAAAGATGTAGGTTAAAATAAAGTGCTCCTTACCTGGTAGTGGATTTAAGCTGGGGATGGATATACATAAAAGAGTGTAAGATCCAGTGGCTAGGGGGAATCAGCAAACCAATCCCAAGCTCCCTACCCCGCTGCACTGTTTGCAACTCAAACACTCCATGAGCTACTGCCTCTTTTTTGAGGGCGGCCATGTGATTTTTAATACCGGCTCGGCTGTCCCCGCCCTCCAGGGCTGCCCCAGACCAATGGGAGAAGGGAGGCCGGCCCAGCCTTGCCTGGGTCTCCGCTGCAGCGCCCGGCTCTGCCCAGAGCAAGGGATCCCCGGAGCCGGGGTGCCGAGGCGTTTGCAGCGAGCGCAGCGCTTGCCCTGCCCCGGCCGGCGCGCCGCGGGGACCGGCTCGCGTCTTGCCCCGGGGCGGGCGGCACCTGGCCGGGAGCAGCGGCTGGGACTGGCTGGGGCGCGGTTCACCGGCGCAGCGCTCCGACAGCCCCAGGGCGCGCCTCGCCCAGCCGCGGGGCTGCCCCGATCCGTGCCCGGAGGGAGCGCAACCGGGAGCCCCTGGCGCTTGGAGGGGGCGAGCGGTGCGCGGAGGGAGGACGCACCTTGCAAGGGGGGGCAGATTGAAAGGAGTGGGGGGGGGTATGTGCCGGGTCTTGGGGGCTGGAGAGACTAAAGGGAGGGGTGGGGGCAGAGAAGGCGAGGGGGGGTCAGAGAAGATAGGGCGATTGGAGAGGGATCTGCTAGGGAATGGGGGGGAGTGGGCTATGAAGGGAGGGAGAGCCGCAGATCACACGGACGTGTTGGTGCAAAGTCAGGGGTGGTCATTCCCTCTGCGTGCAAGAGCCCGGCGCTTAGGGTCACCAGATGTCCCGATTTTATAAGGACAGGCCCGATATTTGGGGCTTTTTCTTATATAGGCTCCTATTACCCCCCCCCCCCACACACACACACCCCTTGTCCCGATTTTTCACACTTGCTATCTGGTCACTAGGGCGGCTCTAGCTTTTTTGCCGCCCCAAGCACGGCAGTGCCTGCGGGAGGTCCCCGGTCCCGCGGATCCGGGGGCGTGCCTGCAGGAGGTCCGCCGGTCCCGCGGCTTCGGCGTACCCGCCGCCGAATTTGCGGGACCCGCGGCCCTCCCGCAGGCACGCCGCCGAAGGGAGCCTGACTGCCGCCCTCGCAGGGACCGGCAGGGCGCCCCCCCACCGCTCGCTGCCCCAGGCACGCGCTTGGAGCGCGGGTGCCTGGAGCCGCTGCTGCTGGTCACCCTACTGGCGCTGTATGTACAGCTGATCTGCAAGTTGGCCTTGAGGGGGATCTTGGGGCTTGAATTTCTATCCAGTGCAAATGAGAACATGCTGTCCAGGGGTATGTCTACACTGCACAGTAAGCTCAGGTTCCAACTCAGGTTTGAGCCCAAGCCCGCCTTCCGTCCACATACAAATCAGGCGGATGCGGGTCAGCAAGCACTCGGGACCTGGGATCCTGCTAGGGGGGTGGGTGAGAGCCCAAGTCGTGCTGTGACTTGGGTCTGAGCCCTGTCATTTTGCAGTGTGAACACAGATCAAGCCATAGACCCGAGACAAAAGGTCTGCGTGGCGCAGTATGGACACGTTCGCACAACTGTGAGGCCTGGGTCTAGCAATTGTAAACCCAGGTTTACAATGCAGCGTGGACTCTCAAGTGCAGGCTTGGAAACATTGAGTCCAGAAGTCCGGGTCCCAGGGACCTGGGCTTATCATAGTGTAGAAATATGCTATGCTTCCAGCCCGGCTGGCTGTAGAACCCTTCCCAAATTAATTCCTAGGCTGAAGGGCACTGGCTCTCATGCTCTTTGGCTGGACCCAAGAGTATCATTATTATTTGTATTGCTCCAGTCATAGCCTGGGACCTCATTGTACTAAGTTATAGCAACACAATCCAGAAAAGACTCTCCATGCTAGAGATAGCACGTGCATATAGCAGTGTGAGTAAAGAGGTTAGTAAATTGTACTCTCCAGATAGGAAGAGATTTCAGTCTAGGACCTTGTACCTCTGATTTCTTCATGTGGAGCTAGACAGGAATGGAGAACACCTGTTAATCATATTCCCTGTGTCCATAAATAAAGAAATCACTTGTTCCATACATAACAGGGTGAGATGTTAGAGAGACAAGGTGGGTGAGGCAATCTATTTTATTGGACCAACATCTGTTGTTGAGAGAGACGTGTTTTCAAGCCATACAGAGCTCTTCTTCAGGTCTAGGATATTACCTCACCTACCTTGTCTCTCTAATATCCTGGGGCCGACACAGCTACATTACATACAACTGTGTTAGATGTAACATATCAAAGCAACTTTCCTACGTTTATGGGAACCCACAGGATTCATCTTCCATTAAGAGCCATCCTGAGAAGAGGAAATTAATTTCCGTTTAATTTTTCTGGGAAATCTGCCAAACTTTATTGGGAAATCTGCAGGACGTTTTGGTCTGGTCAATCTAATCTTGCTCTCTTCAATACCCCTGTCACTCTTAAAAACATAACCACACTTAGATACAAGTCCCACGTAGTACTGAAAAAAGTCTTTTATTTCTATCTACTTTAACAATATCCAATATTTATTTATTTATGTTGATAGGTACCCTTTCTTAATATTTCTAAATGGACACTCTAATCACCAATGGTATAACCTTAAAAAGACATCACAAATACTACCCCGAATGCCACAATGCAATTCAATATAACATTCCCAAAATGAGGTTTGCAAATAAAGGCTATTTTATACCAAAGGGGGAAGCAATGGGTGTTTCCCCATCACCATAATAATTCGGCCTCGTTTATTTGTTTTACATACCACCTATGGCAGAGGGACCAAGGTGCTGTCCCACTCTTTAAAAATATGCAAATATCAAAAATTATTCCAAAATATTCTGCCGTTCCTAAAGCTCCTCCGGTCTAAACTACCCAATAAAGAAAATGATGAAGAAGTTTGCAGCCAAAAAACCCAAGAGGAATAAAATAAAAGGCTTTGTAATCATGATCTGAAGTTTGCTGAACTCTGGCTGTGATGGACAGTCAGGGGGTGTTGGTTTCAGAGGCAGGTGCCCTCAGAAAGCTGAGTTCTTGGCACTAACAGCTGAAATGCATCAGAGAGCCTCCTATGTTGTGATGGAAAAATATGGAAGAAAGCAGCCTGTTAAATGAAAGGGGTCACACAGACCACACTGGGCTTTAGAGGCTTTAGAGATTATCACTAGCACCTTGAATTGCACCCAGGACTGAAATGGTAGCCATTGCAACATATGGTGAACAGGTGCTGTGAGCACTGAGGGGCAAACAGATCCTTTGCCCAGCAACTGGGCCATCTGCTGGTCTGATATGGGAGGAGTGGAGCTCTCCACACAAGGTAGCATGGAGAACTATGGAGGCTATGCCATCCAATTGCTAGAGTAGGTCCCCAGCATATGTACCCCCCCCAAAACTCCATGGAAGGGTGCATGCTCCATTCCTGCTCCCACTCACGAGGGTTGTAGCCATGATGTCAGCCTGTTTTAAGCAGCTATTTGGAAATGTTTTACAAATCCCATCTCTCTTAGAGTCCAGGCTTTGCACAAGTCTCAGTTCATAGTGTAATGTTGTGATCATAGAATAAAATCGGGTATATATATATGTTATAATGGTAACACTGATAAAGCAGTAAGCCTAGAGACTCTAACTTGTCCTATATTTATGTTTGTGAGTGCACTTTAAAAACTGCCACTTACCACTTCTACTGTTATCTGTAGTATCTGAAGTGTTCCCTGTTCTCAGAATGGGGAAGTACCACAGATATTACAACAACCAGTAAAATAGTCAATGCAGGGAATGGAAGTTTTTAAAAAACCCCACCCTATGTGTTACTGTTTTTAGTTTATACAAGGTACACATTACATAGGGGTGAGAGGGAGAGACAGAACATAAGAACGGCCACAGTGGGTCAGATCAATGGTCCATCTAGCCCAGTATCCTGTCTTCCAACAGTGACTGGTGCCAGATGCTTTAGGGGGAATGAACAGAACAGGACAATTTATCAAGTAATCCATCCCTTGTTACCTAGTCCCTGCTTCTGGCAGTCAGAGGCTTAGGGATACCCAGAGCATGGGGTTGTGTCACTGACTATCTTGGCTAATAGTCACTGATGGACCAGTCCTCCATGACCTTATCTAATTCTTTTTTTAACCCAGTTATACTTTTGGCCTTCGCAACTCCCCCGGCAATGAGTTCCACAGGTTGACTGTGTGTCGTGTAAAGAAGTACTTCCTTTTGTTTGTTTTAAACCTGCAGTCTCTTAATTTCATTTGGAGATCCCTGGTTCTTGTTTTATGCGAAGGAGTGAAAAACACTTCCTAATTCACTTTCTCTACACCAGTCATAATTTTATAGACCTCTCTCGTATCCCCCCCCTTAGTTATCTCTCTTCATAAGGAAGCTGTTCCATACTCCTGGTCATTTTTGTAGCCCTTCTCTGTACTTTTCCCAATTCTCTTTTTTTTTTTTTTTTTTTTTTTTTGAGATGGGGCGCCCAGAACTCCACATAGTATTCAAGGTTGTGGGCATACCATAGATTTATATAAAGGCATTATGATATTTTCTGTCTTATTCGTGATCCCTTTCCTAAGAGTTCTGTTCACTTTTTTGACGGCTGCTGCACATTGAGCAGATGTTTTCAGAGAACTATCCACAGTGACTCCAAAGTCTCTTTCTTGCGTGGTAACAGCTAATTTTGGTCCCATCCTTTTGTATGTATACTTGGGATTATTTTTCCAATGTGCATTTCTTTGCATTTATCAACTTTGAATTTCATCTGCCATTTTCTTGCTCAGGCACCCGGTTTAATGAGATCCCTTTGCAACTCTTCACAGTCAGCTTTGGACTTAACTATCTTGAGTAATTTGGTATCGTCTGCAGACTTTGCCACCTCATTGATTACCCCTTTTCTAGATAATTTATGAATATGTGTATATGTCATGCAGATGTATATCTTATGAATCATAAAAACCTTGGGTCACTTTCTATCTAATACTTCTTTAATAAGAAAATAAAAAGTGGTCGCTCCATTAATTAGATACACATTTCCTTTGCATGGTAAATCTAGTA